TGCTGTGAAGGTAAAAGGAGCAGGAATTGGGCCCGAGGGGGAAACTCGAGGAGCTGGCAGCGTGGGGTGCACTGATGCTGGGCGGGCTGTAATTGACCACACTGGGATCACGCTCAGGGATGAGGTGGGCACTCGGAGATGGGATTCTGTTGGGGGCTGGAGTCTGGAAAGCGGATTTGATATGGAAACTTCAGATCCAGAATGGCAGGCTGTCTGGTCAGCAACATGTCTGGGAAAGACGCAGGAAGGGCCAGCAGGAGAGTCTGCAGCAGTTCTGTCTGGAGGGGAACAGTTTCGCTTAAAGGGAGAGTGACAGACTGAACTTTGGGATCTCAGCTGGCAGGAGCAGGTGAGAAATACTGAGAAATACCAAATCTGACTTGCAACAATGAAAGGGAAAATGTACTACGTAAGTGTGGTGCAGACAATGTTTTCAGCTTGACACATAGAAAGAGCTGGGCCAAGGGATTATAAAGACCAATAAAGGAAGGGATAAAGAAAAAAAATAAAAATTTTTTGAAAAGGAAGAGATAAAGAGGGATATGTTTCTCAATATGACATATAACATAACATAAAAACTACACAAACAAAAACCTCAAACCAGCAACTGAGCTGCAAACGCTGCTCTAGAACGCGGTGAGTGGCCCCTGTAAGGACGGGTCCACAGTGCCATCTCTGACTGCGTCCGTCACTGTTACTGCCCTGTGCCCCTGAGAGCCTCTGAGGCCGCTGCATCCTCTGTGGTGCTCTGACCCATGGATGGACACAGATTCTTCCCAAAGTCCTCAGAGCACACGCTGCCCAGGCATGGCCATGTATAACCCCTTGGCAGGAGGGAAACAGACACTAAGAACACAGCAAATCCAGATGCCCAGCATGAAAGGCACAAGCTCTTCTTTAGCACGTGACCTGCCGCAGGTGCACCTTTATCCTGGTTCCTGACAGAGTCTTCCATTTCCAAGAATAAGAGCCATGACAAGGATACCACGAGTGCTCAGAGCTCAGGACAAAATAGAGTTAGTCCTCCCTTCCACTCACACGGGTCTAGTGGGTGTTTTGAGGACCATCTTCTTCTCTGAGCAGCTGAGAACGGGAGTGACTTTCCCTTAGGTAAATCTCCTCCTACCCCTGCGGAGTATTCACCTGACCGCCTATTAGGAATCACAATCTCAGAATGCGCTGGAGAAGGCAAAACTCATGTAAGAGCAGGATGCATGTGCCTGGTACCCTGGGGTCATTTTCCAGATGCAAAACCTTCCTCCCCTTGCTGCCAGCTGAGCCTCTGATAAACCCGGCTCTGCCACTGGTGAGTGATGGTGGTAGGCAAGTTTATGCTTAGGTGAAGGACAGAAAGTTCAGTGAATGCCAAGGGCTGTGAGAAGTATGGTTCTGCCCAGGGGTGGGGAGTTGGGGGAGCGTATCATTTCTAGGAAGACAAGATTCAGCCACAGAGAAAAAGACAGAGAATGAAATAGCATAGCCTGAGTAGATGATGCCTTGGCCAAGGTCTGAAAGGCAGGTGGCAGCAGAGCCAGGGTGTGGATGTCCTTTGTGTGCAGCTCAGCATGGCCAGCATCACCTTGGGGGAAGCTGCAGTCCTGCACTCCTGGAAGGGGCTATTGTGATGGAAAATAGGACCAATGCCCGGGGCATCACTGGAGTCTGGAAACAGTCCCTGGTCGGACCCTGGGAAGGAAGGGAGGGCTCTAGCTGTGAGCAGGGTCCTTTGCTCCTCCAGGACAGCTCCCTGGGAAGAGGTTGGCTGCAGCAAGGGCTGGAGACAGTGCTGATGGGGAGGGAGCACTCCAGTGGGGACAGGAAGCTCCTGAGCATGATGGATTGCTTTCAGTCTGCTGCAATCCCCTCCTGCCTGGAGGGAAATGACTTAGAACAGGTACAAGATTTTGAACTGCCAAACTGCGTTTACTTGCTGACTCCTGTTGCTTGTGAGAAGCCAGCTAGGGGAGAAGCCTCTGTTCTCTGTTCTGCCTGGCATGTGCCTGTAGACTCCTATTCACAGCTGGGTCTGAGGGTTTTGGGGATCACTGCAGCTCAGAAATCTTCACTGCCAATCCTCCCCTCCCCCCAACCCCTCTAAGCTTGCTCCCTGTTTCTCCCCAGTCCCCACTCCCTCTGCAAGCCACATCGGCTTCCTGAGATTGTTCACCATGTCCTGAATGGCCTCCCCTCTCCCTGCTTCTCTCCCATTCTTCACCCCACATCTGCTTCAAGAAGAGCCAACCCTGTCCCTTAGGAACCTGATGGCCTCTCCCAGAAGGGACAGCCTGCTTTATCTGCAGTTAGCAAAAACAAAAAACAAAAAATGAAACTCAATAAAACGTGGCTCACTCCAGTTTGCTCTACAAAGCTGGGAAAGGGGGCTGGACAGGAGACACATCTGGGACCAGTGGTTATGCTCTTCCATGGAGAAAGGTGCCCGCCCAGCTCCGAGGCTGCAGCCCTGGCCGGAGTAGAAGATAGAACAGGACCTGAGACGGATTGGTCAGAGGTGGGGGTTGCCCAAGTGGAGGAGTAAAGTGAACCAGTATGGTGCAAGGAGGGGAAATTCCTCTCTAGGTCTGGGAGCTGGGACAGGAATGCCAGGAAGGCACTTTGACCATCGCCACACATATCAGAGAACCCAGGGGGCCTGGTTGTGATCTGAAAGCCTGCTGGGACAATGGCTGGGGAGAGAGACCTGGCTGTCTACAGGAAGTGAGCTGGAAGGAGGAGGGATGTACACACAATCCAGTGTCAGCTTCTGCCACCCAAGGCTGGCCGACTTAGGCAGGGAGCCACCCTACAGTAGTTGGTCCTGATGTTACACGTGCTTTGACTGACACCTTGAACTGATGCAGGGAGTTGCTGCTTCCCTCTTGTCTTTGCTGCACAGAAAGGTACATTTTTCACCATTCGTTTGTCTATTCAACACCTGACCGTCACCTGCACTGGGCCTGGCCCTGGGCTGGGCGCTGGAGGACGCACCAACAAATGGACAGCATCCTTGCCTTTAGAAGCTCACTAGCTAGAGCTGAAAATAGCACCAGACCCCGAGTTAGGGGCTCCACGCATTCTTCACACACAGAATGAGACATTATTGTCATGTTTTCCTTTGCATATATTTAACACTGAAACACATACAAACTCCGTTAGGAAATTACATTTAAATGCAGGTACAGAAAAGCGGTCTTGAGTCTGAGGTGCCTCATTTATCAAAGACAAAAAAGATTGGGATCACTCTCCAGGTGTGGCTGTGGGTTTGTGAGCGTGTTCCATGCTTAGAAAGTTTTTATATTCTTTCCAGGCTTTCTTTTCAAAAGCTAGGCTTTCACTGGGGCCAGTCGTTACAGGTTAAAAGAAAACAAGGTGAGTTCTTTACTCCCACAGCTTTTCATTCACCCATCTGCTCATCCACCCATCCATTCATTCAATGGCTATTTCTTAAGTACCGACTACTGGGGCTGGACACGTGTTAAGCCTGAGAAATTCAATGGTGAACAAGAGACAGAATCCTACCTTCAGGGGCCTTAAGGTCTGGTGAATTACACTCACCAGACTTCAGGCTCCCCACGGTTGGGAGCACACAGTTCCCCACTCTGGCTTGTTCCTTTTCCTCTGTCTCTTGCTTGATCCTAAATAGACTGATATGTCTTGTACATCTGACCTGTGTCTCCTCTTCTGAGCATTTCATCTAGTCTACTTTGTTCAAAGGCATATGACTCTGGGTCACCCCAGAGGTGCATTTAATTACCCCCTCCCATCTTTCCAGTTGAAAGATTAAGGAAGATAAAATTGTGCAGGGGACGGCCTGAGGGCAGTGACCCAGGTGGGACCTCAGGTGTCCTCGTTTTGCACCACAAGGTCCTGCCAGTCTGGCCCTGATGAACCGCGTTAGGAATGAATGCCTGACTAAAAGCTAACCATCGTAGTCTGACCAGTGACCTGTGCAGCATCAGTCTTCCCGACATGACCATGAATGACCAACACGGCTGATCACGCCCTCTCCAGGGGAGTTTAAGAATGAAAGATGCAGGGAGATAAAGAGAGAGAGAGAAAGAGGTAGAATGTAACAAGGACCCTAAAACTTCAACAGGGGCCCTGAAGCTTAAAGACATACTAAGGGAAGGCAAGAGATAGAAACCACAGATGGAGAAGTCCACGGGGCACCGTGAGTTATGAGTAAGCAGAAGCTGGCAGCAACATCAACGTGTGAAGCAGAACCCGGAGCAGCTGAGCAACCAAAACAGTGGCGCAGAGATAACTCCGGCCTCCCTGCTCCGCCACCAGGGCTAGTGATGCCACCACTAAAGCTCCTGCTATTCCATGCACCATCCAGTCCTGTGAGCTGCATCTCTGCAGCTGGCCCTGCCCTTCTCATTTCACTTCAGCTCAGTGCCACTCCTCCATCATCTAAGGGTAGCCAGAACCTTCTGCCTTTGCATCCTAAAAGATCTCAACTAGCAAAAAAACCCCATCTCCATCTAAGGCCATTGCTTCTTAGGGCCAAAATTTTAGAAACCCCCTTATGCAGAGTCTGGATTCTGGATGTCCAGCCTCTGCCTGTATACCCTCTGTGCAAGCCCAAGGACCAAGACAACCTTCCCCAGGTGTTGAGCAATGATCAAAAGCTGAAATGGACCAGCAGGACAGAGTACCTTAAGATAAAGTGAACAAGCATGCTGGCACTTTCTCCTGAGCTCTGTGGGGTAATTACTATTGATTCAAAGATGTCATGAGATTTGAGAAAGGATGCACTGAACGCACTGAGCATGTGTGTCCAATGAATTGCCTTGGACATTCGCAGCTGTAAAATGGGAGTAATATATCAGGGAGGAGCTGTGAGAATAAACAGGCTACTCTATTTCTTGCAGCAGAGTGACTGCGCTTTAAAAGCTCCTCCAGTTGTGTGATGCAATGATTTGAGGGCAGGTCCAGCCACTCCCATACACCCAGGCAGCCAAGCTGCCTTCACTCTACAGGACTGACAAGAGCAGGCCTACCTTGCCAGCCGGGCTTGCAAACTGGCTTCACATCCACCTGCACCAGGGTGTCCTGAGCTGCGGGCTTCTGTCCACAGTCGTAGGCGGTCACCAGGATCTCATACTGGTGTTGCTTGTCATAGCTCAGTTTCTCCGTGTTCCTGATGTTGCCTGAGGACATGGGGACATTGAAAATCATTTCAGATCAAGTAAACCACATTGCAGTGCTTCAGAATCCCTTCTGCATGCCTCCAACCTTCACCAGAACAAAATGTCCCCTTCCTCTATCTCTTTGTGAAAACAAGGGCAAGTAGGGGTACGGCTTCCCAGGAACCGCTGGCTGGAGTCATGCCAGCTGTGGAATGGAACAGCCAGGGGATTCTGAACACACATCTGGAATCCAACTGGTTGTGCTTCTAAGGACAGAGTTGTCAGAGAACAACCCTAAAGTGCGTCCACATGGCTGAGTCCCAGTTGTAGGGTGCCCAGCGCTCATTCACACGAAATCTCTGGGAAAAAGATGGAATTCAGAAATGTCCTGACACTTCTTTTTAAAAAAACATCTGGGCTCATCGCCAGGAATGTTCACTGCCTCTTCTCACATTATTTTGCTACCAAACAGGAAGTAAAATCAATAAGAAAATGTGTGACTTCCCTTCTGAAAGCTACACAGAATAACAGATTTCTTGCCCTGGTGGCAAAGACATTTTTCTTCTCCAAGAGAGACCAGACATTGTTTCTGAGCCATTTATGTGATTTTGTTCCTAGGGGTTTGATATTATGATTCTGAAACAAACATCTGGCAATCAATGAGTGAAATTTTAATTGACTATTTTTGCTGAAATATAATTTTGCTGTCAAAAAATGAATCAAGGCCTGACGTGTGTTTTATACTTTTTGATTCCCAGAGATAAAAATATTCCTTTTCTATATATAGATATTCTATATTATATACAATATGAGATATTTTACATATATATTTATAGAGATTACATAGGGATATAGAGATTATATATTAAGGGATTTCTATAATGTAACTAGAAAAATAGATACTTAATGGAGGTATATACAGCTGACCCTTAAACAGGACTGGTTTGAAATATGCAGGTTCAATTTTATGCAGAGTTTTCTTTTGATAATGATCATAGTTGTTGTTGGTTGAATCTGGGGATGCAGAGGAACCATGGACATGAGGGCCCCACTATACATTACACATGATTTTAGGAAAGTCTTCCTTTGTAGAGAATGATTTCATTCTTGCTTTTTTTCCCCAATGGTGGAGCTGACAGCAAATTAGAACTCAAATGGTATTATCATCCTTTACCAGAAGTGAAACCAAGAAAATGGAAATTAAAAAAAAAACAACAAGCAAATAAAGACAACAGGGGGTGGCTGACTCAGATTTATCTTAATATTTCATCAAAACTAAAGGAAAACTCCCTAATGACTCCTAAGTGTTTTAAAGGTGGGAAAAGTTGAGCCACTCATCATTCAATATTAGTAGAACAGTACTCAGTACTGGGCCACGAGCAGGTGCTTGGAGCATCTGTGAAGGTGTGGAGGGGGCGAAGGCAGAGATGAGCGGTAGTGAGGGGAGGGTGTACAGAGTTTCCCAAGACATTGTACCAAGAATTAGACTCACTTATTCTGCTGTCTGCTCTGGACTGTTTCTAAAAATGTAACTGTAATCACAGATTTGAAGTCAAGTTTCTTTTAACAAAGCCAATCAAGTTGTGGTATATTTATATAATGGAATACTACTCAGTCATAAAAAAGAATGAAATAATGCCATTTGCAGCAACACGGACAGACCTAGAGATTATCATTCTAAGTGAAGTAAGCCAGAAAGAGAAAGAAAAATACCCTATGAGATCACTCATATGTGGAATCTTAAAAAAAAAGGAAGGAAAAAAAGGACACTATAAACTCACTTACAAAACAGAAACAGACTCACAGACATAGTAAACAATCTTATGGTTACCAGAGAAAGGGGCTGGGAAGGGATAATGGGAGTTTGAGATTTGCAAATGTTAGCCATTATATATAAAAATAAATTTTTAAAAAGTTTCTTCTATATAGCACAGGGAACTATGTTCAATACATTAACCTTTAATGAAAAAGAGTATGAAAACGAATATATGCATGTATACGCAAGACTGGGACATTGTGCTGTACACCAGGAATTGACACATTGTAACTGACTATATTTCAATTAAAAAAAAAAGAATCTCTGAATAAAAATAGGTTTGCTGTCTCTTTGGCCTTGTGGCTGGTGTGCAGAATCCCTTTCCTTTTTCTCCAAATATTTGTTTCCATCTCAGCTTGGTGCCCCACACAGGTCTGGAACAGCTCAGGATGGAGTTGGTAACATTCCCTGTGGGTTCTGTTAACAAACTCGTTTGTGGTTACAGCCATCACAGGGGAAGACTTCTGTCAGGCAGAAGCACTGTCAATAACCATGAGAAGTCCTGTCTCAGCAACATGGAATTGAATTTTGAATAAAAAGTTTTAACTTTCTCTTTCTTTGAAGTTAAATGGCTCTCAAAAGGTATACCTCTTAGAAGAGGGTGGCTCAGAGTTTACAATCTGTGTGACGTTAAGCAGACCAAACACTATTGATTGTGGTAGAAAAACACACGAGCCTGCAATCCTTGGCTCAATTTACTGCAGCTCCACTCCTGTAACAAGTCTTAATGAAATTGTCTGCGAAACTAATTTACTTTCTCCACCACCACCGACTTCATGCATGGGAGAATGGGTTTCAGAGCACAGAATTTCAAGTGTTAGGTAAAATCGAGTGTATAATATTGTCGCCAGCAGTTATATGAGGGGGAGGCTCATGTTTGGATAAATTACCCATCTAAAAAATTTTTGAAAGATCGGGAAAAAGCCATTGGTTTTGCTTTCTGTTGCAATTGTATTATTTCCCCCCACATTTGAATGATTTGTCCTAGTAATGCCTTCTCAGGAGACCTGAGTCCACAGTTAGCTCAGGCAAATTCCATTCCCTGGACTTATTTCTCTGTTCCAGATGAAACTGGGAAGCCAATTCTCAAATAAGTATCAGCACCTACCTTGTGTAAGAAACTCAAGTGGGGCGGGGGGTGCAATGAGACAACATGCTGACCTGCACCCTCCTTCTGATGGAACTGAAATGGGAGAGGCCCTTTTGGAAAGCTACGCAGGCCGAGCACTTTGCAACTCTTCAAACCTTTTGAGCATGCAAGTCCACATCTAAAAATCGATCCCCGGAAAATGATAGAAATTGCAGACAAAGGTGCAAATAGGTTCATCTAAGCATTATTTGTTACACTGAAAAACAGTAAAGAAACTGGATGCCCCAGAGCAAGAGGCAAGCTGAGCATGAATCGGTGCTTAGGTGGAACACGGCTGAGCACTAACGGTGGTCAGGATGAAGCATTTCTACGGATAGAATAAAATCCACATAATCGAGTGTTAAGTGAAAAAGGGAAGCTAAAGAAAAGCAAGGAAACTGTGGCCTTATCTTTGTTTAAAAACTCCACAGAAAAAGTGCAGGCAAAATAGTGGCGGTTATCTTAGGTGGGGTGACAGGTGACTTACTTCCTTCTCGGTGCCTTTCTAGGCTTCCCAAGTTTCCCACAAAAGGCCTGCATTACTTTGCGATTTAGACGGAAGAGAAGTGCTTTCATTTACTTGGAGAATAAGCAGACTCGAGGACACATGTTACCCACAGGCGTCCAGGGTCCGTTACTCACCCGGGCAGCCTGCCCACGGAGAGGGCTCAGCGGAGGCTGCGTGAAATCAGTAACCGCTTGGATGGCAGAAAGGTCTGCCGAGTGGAGACTGGGTGTCACTGGGAGCCCTCTGCTCCCTCCGTGGCCGTTCCCACACCTGGCTGGGTGCCTGGTGGGCACCGACACTCTGGTGACTGCTTTGTTTGCAGTATGCTGCCCTCTTACACAGGCATGAGATTTAATTCCCAATTTACAAGGAGGATCTAAGGCCAGGTTTAAGTAACTTTGTCAAAGATATCTCCCCCCCACCCCCCCACACACAGTGGTGGGCATAAGATTAAGACACAACGTTGTATTTTTGACCTTAAATATCAGTGCCATGTTTTCCTGTCAGACACCACTGAGGACAGTGATAACATCACTGGTGGAAAGACCTTGGGGCCAACACTCAGGGGATCTGGCTCCAGTCCCCACTCTGCCACCGTGCAGACTGTATGGCCAGCCCTTTTTGCTCTGGGAATCAGTTTTTCCATCAATTCAATGGACGTGAGGATCTAGGCCCTACCGATCTCAGGGATATCAGCTGAGTGCTAGAAAATGGGGACCCAGAAGCCACCTGAAATGGATCTAAAACTTCCCAAGAGGGGAGCAATGCCACCAGTTCAGTTACCTGCTCATGATTTCAGCCTGGAACTCTATGGGGAGTGAATAGCCTTCATGTCCTGGTCACCCAGGTGGATGGAACACTCTATATGCCAAGGGCCCTGTGGACATCCTCCCAGGTACTGCCTCCCGCTGAGGCCTCGGCACCCCACAATGGGGCAGAGACTGTCACTGCCATGGTTCACAGGGGAGGAAGTCAAGGGAAGGGAGGCCGAGGACCTCTGGTTGGAAGCGGCTGAGTCTTGTGTCAAGATGGGTCAGGCTGACTCCGTGTCCCGTCGCCTAGCCTCCCTGCTCCCCTGCTCCCCTTACTTCCCCCACAAGCAGGGAGCCTGGCAGTGGGGAGGGGCCAGAGGCCATCTACTAAAAGTCATGGGGCCTGAATGACTGGGCCCCCAACTCAGCAGTGCTTTTTGTGATGTGCACGCAAATAACTTCTTCAAGGACCTGGGAAGGTCGCCCAGAGAAGTGATGGATAAGGGCCAATTGGGAAGCTCATTAGAATGAAAACCGCTTCTGCGTCTGCCCTTAGGTCCTGCCTTCATTACTGGGAGAACTGCTTTGTAAACCTCACGGCTGGAGGCCCATGCTCCCTGGGAGTGCCCACTTTCCTCTGCATCTCCTGTTGTAAACCAGTGTTGGAGGCACAGGCCTGGCAAAGGATCATGACTCACTTTTAATGAGACAGCTAGGGAAATAAATTGGCATATGTTTAGTGAAATGGCTCATCAAGGTGAGTAATTATCTTCCTGACCCGGGCAGTTTACCCTCGGATGAAGGAATTTGCATCTCATCCCTCCGGGGGCTGTGGCTCTCCAGACTAAGGCAGGAGGCCAAGGGGACCACTGGTCATAGACACCTCCTCCTGTCCAGGCTCGCTCTTTGGCAAGCACTTGTCACTCCCCAGATTCCAAAGCTCCTGTGGACATAGACTGCACAGCTGATCATAGGGGATCAGAAACATACAAGCAGGTGTTTCATCTTTTGTTGAGTGGGGTGTGTGTGTGTGTGTGTGTGTGTGTGTGTGTGTGTGTGAGATGTGTGTCTCTGTGGTGGAGGCAGACCAGCCACTTCACAAGGCCTGCGGGAAAAGCTACAGGGAGCAGTTCTGATAGGCTCTCTACTAATTGAAATTACTGCTTCTTAGTCCTGAACCAAACTTTAATTAAAGTCCAGTATTTTTTCCTTTATGTTCCTGTGCATTGATTTTGTGTCCTACACAATTAGCATTTAGTGATGTCCAGGTGTGTTACTGTCATGCACCATGTGTTTTAGCCTCTTACAAGGAAACTCCCTTCCTAATGTTTTGTCTGTTTTATGAATATTGCTTTCATCTTCCGAGACAGATTGTAAACTCCTTTAGGTCAGGGATGAGGATGTCTCCTTGGTTTCCATCCTGTGGAATCTACTGCAGATCTCAGGATGCAGGAAGACTCCGTCTTAGGTTAAGTTTCTCCCTGATCTCAACATCAAGAGGCATGGGAAGCACCAAAGATTTGTGAGCAAGTGACTGAGGGTACTTCTCTTTAGGCATTGGCTACCAGGAGGCTCAGGGTTAACACCACGCTTAATTTAACCCTGGTTCATGCATGCTTTGTGCACCAAACCCGCCTTGGATGCTGCCTGACTTCCTACTTTTTCTTTTCACTAGATGGTAAGCTCCATGTGGGCAGGGCCATATCTGTTTTGACTTCCCCTCTATCTTCACTCCCAGTCCCCAGCACCATCACTTAAACTTTTATGGAGTAGATGGACTTGAGCTTTTGCAACTTTTGCACCTTTGCACAGTACTTAAATCCTCTTTGAAACAAAGGGAGTGCAATATACATATACTCACATACTCATGCTAATAATGAAACAATATACTTGGCAAATAATTATCATTTGATTAATATCAAGTTATTGAGAATTATAGTTAAAATGGGATGGGTTGATTGGAACTCTGGCTGTGGTGTTTATACTACAATGAGTTTTTAAATAATGGTGATGGGGAAATATCTCAATGGCTTTCTAGGACTGTTTTCAGTTCAGCAAGTTCAGTTTGAGATCGAAGTGTGGTAGGAGGGTTTTTCATTCTTCACTCTCACTGGGGTGGAAATTCTTAAAAAATGTTGAGAAAAGCTTTAAAGATTCCTAAATGGAGCTATAGCTTAGAAGACGTTTCAGCATCTCTTTGTCTGGGAGCAGTCAGCAGATTGTGGTGGTGGAGGATGATCTTACCACTTGTGATACAGGAAACTCAGATTTGGCTGAGCTGACAGCATGGCTCACATCTGGAGGGCAACAGGAAAATTCTACCCAAAAACCCACCCATCTTCAATATCTAGATGTGTGGCACTGTGAGTTCTAGAGAATATTCACTGGGTAGGTTTCCAAGGTACTGTGGGGTGTGTTAGATCGGCCTGGGGTGCTGATTCTGTAAGGTCATCCCTTCTAGTGCAAGACTGAGTTCTGGGAGACACAGCCCAGATCAGGGGTGGCAAGGGAGACATCACTTGTCCAGTACATTCAGAGCCCACACTCGGCCTTCAGTCTGGAAGCAGTGGCGCCATTTCCCTGCCCCCACCCACCAGGATCCTCTCGGGACACTCACCGTTTCTGTCGATGGCAAAAGGCACATCAGTGGTGGCGATTTCGTAGTTGCAGATCTGACTGTACTGGGGGGAGCAGTCCTCGTCGACGGCCTCCACCTGCAGGATGCTGTCGTAGATCTTGCCCTCTGTCACGACGGCCCTGTAGGCTGGCTCTTTGAAGGCAGGAGCGAACTCATTGACGTCCTTCACCTGGATATGGACCACAGCCCTGGGACCATGAGCAGGAAAGAAGTGGTGGTAAGAAAAGACTCACACCATCCTCCCACACCCCTAACGGGCACTGACTCGGTTTCTAAGGATTAGGGGGTGGAGAAACCACAAGCCAGTTGGGCGGCTGTGGTCTGAGTGCTCTGTCCTCCCTCCCACGGAGACCCCTCCACCTATCCGTGCCCCATTCTCTGAGATGAGCCCACCCCAGAGAGATGCCTCCCCTTCTTCGACCTTCCTTGTCACCTGGCTTTAGGCAACAAATTTCCTCTAGATCAGCTCCCTGTTCCTCTTTCACTCCTCCCCTACTCATTCACTCCTCCATCCAGTAAGAACCGAACCACTCTTACTCTGGGCTAGGTGCTGAGCCAAACTCTATATGGGAGAGGGTTACAACCCAAAATGAAAGTGCTGTGACAGAGAGAAGCAGGTGGCCTGGCAATAACCCCGGGCGCAAAGGCCCCAATCAGGTCTGCAGGGATGGGCTGGCTCATGGAAGGCTTCCTGGAGGAAGTGACACCTGAACTCAGTCCTGATGGTAAAATAGGAGTATCTTCACATGACACAGAGGGGTAGAGTATTCCAGGTGTAGAAAGTGGCCCAGGCTGATGTTGGCAGGGCCTGGCAAGCAGTCGGGCAGGCTACAGCAGCCTGGTATGACCACTGGGCATGCATATCCGAAGAGCAGCATGTGAACGGAGATGAGTGGGCGGGCTGGGAGGGGTCCAGGGAGCTCTGTCAGGCTACTCACTTGTGCGACTTCTTCCAGGCCGTCTCCCGGGGCCCTGCGCCGCAGTCATAGGCCTGGATGATGAACGTGTACTCCTTCTGCAGCTCACAGTCTATGGGGCTCTTGGCGCGGAGCCGGCCCTCTCCTGATGTCTTGTTGAGCACCACAGCCTCGAAGGGCAGCTCCTGGCCGTGGATCTTGAATGCGCAAATTTCCCCTGCAGAAGGATGGAGTACAGAGAGGGGGATCCTGAGAACCGCCAGACTGAACACAGAGCTTCGAATGGACCCGATTTGCAAACCCGACACCCCTAGGCCATCTCTTTCACGTAGACAACCATCAAACCAGAAGTGGCCTCCGGAGACCCAGAACGACATGTTCATTTCCTGGATGGTAAAATCGAAATGTCACCATCAGGTGTACCCGGCAGGAAAAAGAGGGAGTCATTATGTAGGGGAGCTGGCTGGTTATCCCAGTTTGCCACTTTTCCTAGCAGGTTTCCTGATTGTCCTCTGGCCAGGCTGAGATTGAGGAATTTGCCCCCAGTGAAAAGCCAAATCACTGCAGAGGAAAAGAGAAAAAGGCCAAAGCTTTTCATGGTCTTTTGATGGAGCATGACAGCATCCTTGCTACTTCAAAGTGTGCTCTGTGAAGCAGCAGCCTGGGCATCCCCTGGGAACTTGTTAGGAATACAGACTCCCAGGTCCCGCCCAGACCGCCTGAGTTGGGATCTGCATCTTAACGGGGTCCCCAGGTGATCTCTTTGCTCAGTGGGTGCAAGCAGCCCTGCTCTGCTCTGTCCTTTACTCCTGGTTTACACCCCACGTTGCTGCAGCCCCTTCCCCCTGTGCTCCCCCAGCCCCATTCATGTCTCTCACCCACCACTTCCCTGTGTGGAGGGGGACACCACTCAGAGTTGCTACTTTCTCTCCAAACAGTTGGGGGTGAGTCTATGTGAGTTCCAGAGTCCCCGCAGAGCCTGAAAAGCTTAAAGGGCCAGACATGTGAAATGAATGCATCTCTCTCCCTCACCTGGGTTAATGTGTATTATAACAATTTCTCTGCATTCAAATGAAAAGTCTATGAAAATATCTTCTTTTTCTCAACTGATGGATGCTTATTTCTTGAACCCCGATGATAAACCCTATAGTACGTGCCCTGGGAAGAACTGAGACACATTGTCTTCCTGGGTTGAGGGAGCTTACAGACTTGTTGGGGAGACGATGGGTAGATGTCCAGAAAGATCATTCATGGTGCAAAGGGGTGACTTGGGCAGCAGGGGTTCAGCTATAGGCAGTGGGGGAGTGAAACTCAGGCTTGAGCCCAAGGGCCTGAGTCACGTTGTTCCAGGTTCACCACTTACTCACTGATTCAGTCAAATTATATTGACTCTCTGGGTTTTAACTGTCACCTGTGAAGGGGCCCAAAAGATGGCGTTGTGCAGACAATGTCTACCTGATATGCCCCAACCCTGGTCTGACACTGCCCCTGCTGCGCTGCTGGGACCAGGGTGAGGTGTCTGCAGAGTACAGTTCAGGGGGTCCTCATTCTCAAGGTGACCAGGCACCTGCCCAGCTGTTCCAAAGAATGACCACCGTGAGGAGAAAGGAGGACATGACTGCATGCCACTCTGGGTCAGGCATCAAGCTTTGTACCTCCACTCACAAGGTCTCATTTAATCTTCACAACAAACCTGCAAGGCAGATGTTTTATACCAATTTGTACAGATTTTTAAAAAAAAGCATCAGAGGCGTTATTACTTGCTCAAGGTCACAGAGTTAAAGTTGGTGTAAAAACCCCAGGTGTAATTGACTCCTAACTCCATGTCCCTGCCCTGCCGCACCGTCTCCAAGCAGCCCCAGAACGTATAAGGGGCCCACCCCGGGGACTGCTTCCAGGAGCATTCAGTATTCCCGCTCAAGTCTCGCTCGAGAGAGAAAGCCCCCATTTTACATATAGGAAGTGTGCCCTGATCTTTTACTAACAATGTTTTCTGAGATGGTCAATCAATACCAATTTTACCTTTAGGCTTTTGTTTTTTATTATTTCATCGATCCTCAGTTTCATTATGAACACTCCATTTTCACTACATCCCCTCCTGGCCATTTCTCAAATGTGGTTGAGGAATTATGGACAAGACAGCCAGGCTGTGGGCCAGGCTCTAACAAGAAGGCTGGTTCTCGTTCTGCCGCCGCTGCTCAGGGCTGTCTGTACAGCCTCTCGGACACGGCTAGCTCTGCTGCCTTCAGGGCAGGGGAATGGCTTTCATCCCATCCTCAAGTTTCCTTTCTGCTCTAAATTGGCTGGGGTTGAGGGCATGAACTTCTGAAGTGCCTGCCTCATGATTCTATCCCAAGATCAATGCCAATATGGGAGTATTAGCAGCGAAGGTGCTCAGACTGGTTCTGGGGTGTTCTCTGGAGGTCCCTAAGACTGCCGTGATTCTAAGACCAGCCAGGCCATTTCTTTTTGAAGAATCCAGTTAAACCAAAAATAAATGAGGGTTATTTTTCTGTTGGAGACATTTGATCACCACTAAAGCAATTCTCAAGACTCAGAAATCCTGAACAAGAGGAAAAGAGAGGAAAAAAAGAAAAGGAAAAGGAGGAGGGAGAAGAGAAAACACCAGGGGAGGGTGAGCTAAAGTAAACCTTAGGGCGACATATTTTTATTGAGCTAAATCCAGCTCAATCAACTCAACAGTACCAATATTCTTCGAGAGTAGAATAAATGTGAGGTGCTGTGCTGGGGCCAGAGACACAAAGGAAACGAACTGGTTTCCTCAAGACATAAGGATACCCAGTCCTCGAGTGCTCATTACCATCTAGAAGAGACAGTGAAATGAACAAGGGCGATGCCATGCTCACTTGGTTTGCACCAGCTCAAACTGAGATCAGATCTAGTCCCTGTGAATAAAAACTAGAGCACACATCACCCTTATTTATTCCAGCTCTTCACCTGACACTTGTATTCTAGTTGAAAAAAAAATCTGTTCGTTTATTCACCCATTCACTCACCTTATAAATATTCATTAGGGACTGTGAGCCCAGCACTGGTGAAACAGTGATGAACAAAATCGACCCAGTCCTAACCTATGAGCTGCTGACCGTCCAGCGGGGGAGGGAAGTAAGCAGTCAATCACCCACCTTCATGAAGGATGGCAACTGTGTTACTTAACGTGGAGGGAGGGCTACTTGGTGTGAAGTGAGTTTCAACCTGGTCAGGCAGGGTGGGGAGGTCTAACCTCAGGATGTGATGGCTGAGCTGAGATCACAGGAAGAGGCAGAGGGAGACATCCAGGCCCCGCGGGAGGGAACTGAGGGGGTAGCACACCGTAGTGCCCTCCAGCAGGAAGGGACAAGGGACTACAGAGGCCTGTATGGCAGGAGTAGAGACAATGGAGCAGGACCAGCTTTATGGATGTGCGACCTGGGAGCCACACAGAACCTTGTGCTCAAGAGGGCTCTGAGCTTGGGTTAAGGCTCTGCCATCGTCATGTTGAAATTCTTAATAATTTCATCTTTGAACTTGGGTTTTGTAAATGAAGTCCGATGAGACAATGGAACATGTCCTGGGCATAGGAGTTGGGTGTAATATGCACGCCTCCCTGTTCCTCGCTCCCCGTTTACACCTAGCGTTCAGGATGTGTCAAGAGCGCAGCATTCCGGTGGACCCGGGGTGAGGGGGGAGGTCAGAGGGACTCCATGAGAAGCACGTGACTTCCATGACTGATTAATTGAGTAAGCGGGGAGCTGACAGCCCTGAGAGAGGCTACCTGTCCTGTTTGAACCAAACTGTTTTGAACACAGAAAAAAGGTAAGGGGGTCTAAAGAATCATGATCAACCAACCAAAGAACCTCATTGTATTCGTTCTTACTCATGTTACTTCTCTGTAGTAGCCAACCACCTGTGCTGAAAACAGACAGAGAGGAAAAGGAAAGATAAAAGCACCCATCCTGCCTTTTCTTTTCGCGCCGTCCTTACTATCAGCAAGCTAAAGGCAGAGAACGTTGGTAGAAGATGCGCGTGTCAAGAAGTGAAATGGAAACAGTTGAGTATGGTCTGTGTGGCATTCACGATGCTTTGGCAAAAAATTAAACACATATGCATACGTGAGCTATGGCGACATGCAAATTCTGTCATTTTCAGAGATTCTGCACAGCACTTAATGGCTCCTCTATTTGCACTGAAAACTGGCATTGCATGGTATACAGATAAATGGTAAAATCCCTGCTAATAATTAAAAATTTAATTTTTTCCTTACTTAGAATGGCATAAAATAGCAAATGAAAAACACAGCAAGTTGAGAGAGAGATGACAGAAGAAACATCCTGGTATGGGGTCTGGAGGAGGAAGGAGATTTCAGACTTGCGGTTCCCAGCATCCGTGTGTGACACATTCGGCTGTCTCGATTTTTCCTGAGGACTGTCACTAGAATTTGTGATTACTAGTAAAGCACTGCAGTGGGAGAGTGATGTACTTAAAAGTAAATGACCAGACCTAATAGTTTCCATATAAAAATATCACTTTTAAAATCTTGTTCTCCAATCTGCTTTTACAGGTGGGAGAGCTGGTGTGCCAGGGACTAGGTACGGGATACGATGCACAGTGCACCTGCACTCTGGACCAGTACCAGGCTCTGAGGGGAAATGGGGCCAGTAGCATCTCACAGTGGCTGTGGCTTAAGGTCGTGGCTTCACTACGAGCCCCCTTGATGGGCCAGACCTGCAGTGTCTGGATGGGACACGTGGTCCCAGCCCCTCAGTCACCTGTCTCTATCTCACAATTACCTTTTCCTCTGTAGTAACGCATCTCCCGACCCACCTGCAGAAACTGGTGTAATTGTCTCTACATTCCTCCTCTAGAATTGTGGAGGAAATGAATGACATTGATGAATGAATGAACGAAATTGACTTTGAGAATGTATCTTGTTCCTACCCTTGAACAACAGACTGTGTTGATTCTACTTGTCAGATTAGGAAACTGAGTCTCAGAGAGATTAAGTGGTTCACCCAAGGTCGCTTTGATAGGAAGGCACAGATCGAGGACTGGTATCTAGGCTCTTTGAATCTAAATCCAGGGCCTTCTTTGTTCTTTCGTGTAGCTCATCACTGTGATGTTCTAAGAGAGGGATTCTCAGAGTGTGGTCTGTAGACCCCTGACATCCCCAAGACCCTTTCTGTGGGTCCACAGAGTCAAAATTATCATCATATTAAC